TATGTTGATGAAGAAATTGTTGAATAGGAATTGATTGAGTTTATGTGATATGAAATAAATTGACGAATATGTCGTTAATGAGAATAAATCGAGATTGAGAAGTTAAAAAGACGTAAAGACGACAAGAATAAGTAATTCAGATATAACTAGATGTCTGGATTGTATTGATGTGTGGGCTTTTAGCTTAATGTAAAATAGTGAGAAATACAAGATGTTAAAATATGTTTGAATGTTTAAAAGAAATAGGTTGAGATTTATTTTGGTATCGAATATAATTGCTTATGATGATGTTGATAGTATTGTCGTCACGGACGAATACACTCAAAAATATGAAGTGGTCGCTTTCAAAAGAGTATTATTGTTCACTGAAATAACTGTTCTCATTTCTCGTATACTTTATATTGGTGTTATACTGGTCGTGGTAGTTATACTCTCATACTCAGTTGATTTGGATTATGTCTTCAAAAGGAATATCTGCATATAAAGTACGTGGTATAATGCGAAAGGCTGCGTCATATCGAATGGATATTGGGAAAATTTTCGATGAAAATATATACAGCATTATTCGTAATATTTGTTCCAGTAGTCAAATGCCTGATGAGTATTTAATAACAATGTTGCTACCGGCTATTGGCCATTTTGTCAATGGCAGTCAAATGCGTACCAACACCGGTACTCCTACAAATATTTCGTTTTTCACTACAATTATTGGATACCCTAGTGTGAATAAATCTAGTGCAACAGATGCTGTTTTGAAAGCTTGTCTCGTGATCGAAAAGAATATTGGTGTAAAACCAGAGGAGAGTCGAGTCAATTGTAGCGCAACCGTAGAGTCTCTTTTAAGTGAATTAAAAAATACTTCGCCTAAATTAATTCAGATATGGGATGAAGCAGTTACTTTGTTACAATCGTTCGGTTTATACAAACAAGGTGGTGCTGCGTATGATCGGTCAATTATGTGTACTCTATATAACTCATCATCAGTCGTTAAACGGCAAACAAAGTCAGGAAATATAGTAGTCGAAAATCCGATCCTTAATATTGCTGCAGCTGCGCATCCTGCTGATATATTTTCATCCCTTTGCAATGAGTCTGATGATGATGGACTTATGGCTCGATTCCTTTTCTCTGCTCCTGAGCCTTGTATCCCTTTGTCAGGTGAAATAACAAATCTTAATATTGATAATCCAAGTCTAGCTCACTTACTATTTGTTATATATTGTTTTAATTCAACGGAGCATAATGATACACGACGAGCAACAGTTGGTGATGGTGATGATGATCATATAATATATACGTATTCCGAAGATGCGCAAATGGTGCAGTATTTTAGTTTGATAGTTTTTTTCTTTTAACTGAAATAGCTAAATAACGATCGTTCTAAAATAATTAAAACAATAACAGTATTGAGAGAGAATATGTAGAGTTAACATTTGAATTGATAACAAATAACTTTCTAATACCTAATAATATATATATATACATAGAATAATATTAGTTTTTCAATAATAAGCAACTTCTCACTCTGTTTTTTGTGCAGGTGATCAATAATATCTTCGACGAATACACTCATCAGATACGTGCAGCATATGGTATTGATCAAGGTCTAGGATCTATCTTGGGAAAGGCAAAAGTACAAGTGAGCAGATTAGCTGGAGCTTTACACGCTACCACTTTAGCTTCCGCTGTTTTTGACCAATTGATTGATCATAATTCATTACCTGGATACGGTGATACCACACCACAGGTATTTGAAATGCTTAAACGAGTTGTAAAAGATTTTAAACAAACTTATAAATGGACAGTAGTATCCGAAGATACAGCAAAGGCAGCGGTGTTGTTAATGAATTACTATGTCACCCAAAAAAAAACATATACAAATCGTAAGTAGTCTTAGATATTGGCTGCGTTACACATTAAACTGATATTATCACGAATAAAATAATTATCTTTAGTGTCGTAATAAGTTAGATTAGATTGCATGTCTCTTAGTATTAAATTAAAACCATAATTAAATTATCAATAGCACATGTCAATAATTAATCTCTCATCGTCCCTTTCCTCTTTTTTCGTTCTTATTCTCCTTCTCCTACTTACCCGTTTCTCTCTCATTCTCGTTCTTTTTTTTTCGTCCTCCTTTTCTTCGCCTTTCTCCTCTTCGTCTTTCTCCTTCTCTTCGCCTTTCTCCTCATCGTCTTTCTCCTTCTCTTCGCCTTTCTCCTTCTCTTCGCCTTTCTCCTTC